TCAAAATAATATATCTATAAATCAGGATGATTTTCTAGGCATATCTCATGGAGTAGATTTGGGCATTTCGAGAGAGGAAATTGACGCTCAGCAAACAGTTTTGACTTGCTCAAAAAAGTCTAATTTTCAGGTTTTATTAGCTACAGCTAAAATAAATTTGATTTTAAAGGATGGGTCTAAGGTAGAAGCAAGGGCTCTGTTGGATTCTGGATCACAGACTAGCTTCATTACAAAACAATTATTCAAAAAATTAAAAAATGCAGAAAGCTATAATACATCATTTAAAATAGGGGGAATTGGTAATAAAATAACTGGATACAGTGGTTAAATTGACATTAGAATCTCAATTCAATAGTTTTCAATTAAGTACAAAATGTGCTGTACTAGATAAAATAACTTGCAAGCTTCCTCATGTATGGGTAGACACTGAAAAGTTAAAAATTGGGAAAGATATAAAATTGGCAGATCCTTTTTATTATAAACCAGGGGAAATTGATATGTTGATTTCAGCAGATGTAGGGTTTGTAGGGTAGGGTAGTGGGTGCAGGGTTGCCAATTCTTCAAAACTCTGAATTTGGGTGGTTAGTTTGTGGAACAGCTCCAATAGATTTCAATATTAAAAATTCGGTATGCCATGTAGGTTGTGAAAATGTTAATTTACATTGCCAGGTTGATTCAGAAGATGTCAATGAAACAATTCCAAAATTTTGGCAGTTGCAGGAATTCAATAATAAAACTTTCTTGTCGAGGGATGAAAAGTTGTGTGAGAAGTTGTTTTTAGATTGGTGTGAACGATTGGAGCATGGCATTTTTCAGGTAGATTTGCCTATGAGAAACAAATTAGATTTTCTTAAGTTAGGTAATTCATTTTTTGCAGCCTATAAAAGGTTTCAGTTTTTAGAGGCAAAGTTTTGCAGAAATCCTCAACTATTTGCAGATTATAAGGATTTTATAAATGAGTATGTTGAGTTGAATCATGGCAAATACATTGAATGTGATTCAGATGAAATTCATAATAGAGTATTTCTACCACATCATTGTGTAATAAGGGAAGAATCTTCGTCCACAAAACTTCGCGTAGTATTTGACGCTTCGAGTAAAACTTCAACGGGTTTATCATTGAATGATATTATGCTCAAAGGGTTCACAGTTCAGCCAGAATTGTTCGATATTCTCATGAGATTTCGTATGTATGAATTTGTGCTAGTGTCAGATATTAAAAAGATGTATCGAATGATTAAAATAAATCCTCAGCAATTATTTTTACAAAATATTTTGTGACGCGAGAATCCAGATGGGCCTATGAAAATTATTGAACTCGACCATCACATATGGCACTAAGGCTGCGCCATTCTTGGCAACACGTTGTTTGAAAAAATTGGCAATGGATGAAATGTTAAATTTTCCACTAGTATCAGACGCTATCTTGAATCAATGTTATGTGGATGATATTTTGTGTGGTGCAAATTCTAAGGATGAAGTTATTAGGTTAAGAGAACAATTGATTAATATGTTACAGTCAGGTGGATTTTATTTGCATAAATGGTTGTCAAATCATTCGACGATTCTAGATTCTTGTGAACGTGGAAAAAATCATGGTGAATTTAATGTTTGTAATGAAAATGGGAAAGTTTTAGGAATTATTTGGCATCCAATTCATGATTCTTTTAGGATTTCTATTCCGAAATTTGAGATAGGGATTGCGAGGGTAACAAAACCTCTGGTATTATCCAAAATCTCACAAATGTTTGATCCGATGGGATACGTGGGCCCAGTAGTAATAACTGCAAAGATATTAATGCAAAAAATATGGATTAGCAAAATATCCTGGGATGATGAGTTACCAGCTATGCTTTTGGAAAAATGGAAAAATTACTCACGAAATTTACATTGTATAATTCATTTATAAATTCCAAGGTGGGTTTTTAATTCAACGGAGATTGTTGTCATACAATTACATGGGTTTTGTGATGCTTCTATGGCAGCGTATGGAGCATGTTTATATATTAGGGCAATTTATAGAAACAATTCGGTGACATGTAACTTGCTTTGCTCAAAATCACGGATTGCTCCTATAAAAACTATAAGCTTACCAAGATTAGAATTGTGTGGAGCTTTATTACTTTCTCGGTTAGTTCATAGAGTACTGTCAATTGTTCAGATTAAAATTAATGATGTGTATTTGTGGACAGATTCCAGTATTGTCTTATGTTGGCTCAAGGGTGAACCAAATAGATGAACTTCCTTTGTTGCTAATAGGATCTCAGAGATGCAGGAACTCACAACAAATTTTGTGTGGAATCATGTTAAATCTCAAGATAATCCTGCAGATCACATATCCAGGGGAATTCCTGCTTCTGAGATTCAAAACAACTATCTTTGGTGGCATGGTTCCCAATTTCTTTTGGATAATGAAAGTAGTTTTCCTATTGATAATCAATTAAATATAACAAATTTGCCAGAACAAAGGGAACAGGTAGTGCTGGCACAAATATTAATGGATCCTTTAATAAATTGGAATAATTTTTCTAATTTTTCAAGGCTTTTAAGGGCAGTGGCATACTGCCACAAGTTTATGAATAGAGAGTTTGGACAAATTAATGTTCAAAAGCTACAGCAGGCTCATACGACTATTATGAAACTTATTCAATTGGAAAAGTTTCAAAAGGAAATTGAATATTTGAAATCAAAGGGTAATTCTACTCGTCTTTTTAAGGAAAGCCAGATAATATGTTTGAATCCATTTCTTAGGTCAGGCAAATATGAGTTTCAATAAAAAGTTTCCAATTATTCTTCCTGCAAATCATTATGCAGTAAAATTATTAATTCGTTTTGAACATCTTAAACTTTTCCACGCTGAACCTCAAGCAGTTTTAGCAAATCTAAGGTTGAAGTATTGGTTAATTCATGGATTTGTTAAAGTGAAGTCTGTCGTAAATGAGTGTGTGATATGTCATCGGTTAAAGGCCAAAAGTTTAACTCAAATGATGGGTTCTCTTCCTGCAGACAGAATTTCTGCTGCACGCCCATTTTTGAAGGTAGGGATTGATTTTGGGGGACCTTTAACAATCAAACAGTCAAGGTTGAAAAAAGCGGTTACAAGTAAAGCATATATTGTTTTATTTGTATCATGGTAACAAAAGCTATACATATAGAGGTGGTCAGTAGTTTGAGTACTGAGGCATTTATCCATACATTTAAAAGATTTATTGCACGTAGAGGTTGTCCAGCTACTGTTTATAGTGATAATGCCACAAATTTTCAGGGTGCTAATAATTTACTTCGAGATGTTTATTTATTTTTCAAGGAACAAAAGAATTTATCTGAAATACACAATATGCTAATTAATAGGGAAATCAAGTGGCACTTTATACCACCAGGTAGTCCACATTGGGGTGGATTATGGGAAGCTGGTATTAAATCAACTAAATTTCATTTTGCGAAGAATTGTAGGCAATATAATTTTGACATTTGAAGAGTTAACCACTGTATTAGCACAAATTGAAGCAATTCTAAATTCGAGGCCGTTGTGCCCAATTTCATCAGATCCTTCAGATCTTGAATGCTTAACTCCGTCACATTTTTTGATAGGTGAGCCATTGACTTCGTGTCCTGAAAGGGATGTATCCAACATACCTGAAAATCGACTAAATTTCTATCAACTGTGTGTTAAAATAAAACAAAATTTTTGGTCGGTAGAGTATTTAACTAGACTTCAAAATAGACCAAAGTGGTTAAGTCCAGTGAAAAATTTGGAAGAAAATACAATGGTGTTGTTGAGAGAAGACAATGTTCCACCGCTAAAGTGGCCTTTGGGTCGCATTGTGAAGGTTATGCCAGGGTTAGATGGTAGGGTAAGGGTAGTTCAAGTAAAAACTCAAGATGGAATATTTACGAGGCCAATTACCAAATTAAGTCCTTCACCTTTTGACACAAATTAAAAATATTGTTGAAGTTTACACTTCAAGGGGGGGAGAATGTTGCAATTTCAGTTTTAATTAGAAGCAGCACCAGCCAGTTATATGAAATCTTCGAATCTCTCCCTTCGTTCATCTTCAAAGGCAGGAATTATACCTTATTAAAAATAAGATAGTTTTAGGTTAATTAGTACTAGTGTTTAGTAGAAAATTAGAAATAGATCAGAGTGGCCAGTTTGGTCAAGTTTTTGTTAATTTTTGTACCTGTTATTGTCATTGTAATAGAATTGTCATAAATGTATAATTTTTTGAAACTGGCTTGAAACGCTTGAATCCAAATAGAGCATTTACTGACATTTTTTGGCTTTTATTCGTCAGTTGGTCCTTCGGAAGAATTTTAGAAGCAAGTTGGGACTAGGAAAGCAGAGAAAACTCATTGTTGGCCATCATACAGTCCTAATTATCGATTGTCCCAACACTACCTTTATGGAAACTACCCTTTCAGAACTGTTACGACTTTTTTTACTATCACCATTCGCTTTTGCATCGAAATGTATGCAGGAATACCAAATTTCAAGAAAAATAGTTTGCCACTGTTGTAGATGAAAATAGATAAAATTTATTATTTTCATCTACCATTTGAAGAGCTGTAACTTCTTCAGGGAACATCTAAGGGCATATGTTCATAGGACCTTTTTTTCTTATTTTTATAAGTAGTATGACTCCTCCAAGTCCGGTATACTTTTTTTTTACACCCTGTAAGTATAAGATGGTATTTCTTGAGTTTAAGTTTTCTTCAAGGTTTTTTTATACCACTGATTACATCACTCTTGGTGATGTTTCCAAAGTCAAAAGTGACCCATTCTTTATTCTCGAAATAATGATTAGAGAGATTTAAAAAATCCTCAGCTTCAGTTTGATCACTTCTAACTGGTGATCACTCAAGTATTCATGTACCTATTTGAAAGAATAAGAAAATTATATCAGTGATAATATTTGCATGCGCCAGCAGTGTCAAAAATAACTAAGATATTCTAGAAAAAGTGATCCATTATCTATAGCACTGTAAACTTCCATTTTTAGATCTTCCTACATTACTCAAAGAAGAACTACTAAAAACCCCTTGCAGGAAATACTTCACAAGCGGCACTTGCTTATTCGAAGGCACCTGCAAATACACCCACTACAATCTGGAACAATTAAGCCACCTCAGACTACAAGGTAATTAACATTGAACTAATTACCAATAATTAGTCATTATTATCATTTCATTGAACCAGTTACCAATTCCTTTTAGTTGACCAATTGCAACATGCTAAGCGACAAGAAAAAATGCAACTTCCTTCGCTGGAATCTTGGCTGAACAAAAACGACCCTGGAATGCCTGCGTGGAAATATCCAGATAGTTTACTTGCCATAAGCGATTTGCCTCCTTCGTTGATCAAATTTAAGCCAGAGCATTTTCACGATGACGAATTTGAAGCATGGGGGAAATAAATTGAAAAACTATAGTTACTTTATTATATGGTACTATATTATGCTGGGATTCTATTCAACAAGTACAAGCAATTTCTATTTCTATTAATTAAAAGTAATATAAATTAATGAAAATAATTATCTATATTAAGCCTAAAATCAAATCTCGCCAACATTATTTATTAAGCTTATAGGGTGCAATTTTCAACAAAGTGCCTTTTTTTTTCAAAATTCAACACAAAATTTCAGGATACTATTCATCTCTAATCAATAACTTGCCTATATTACTTTATCAATTAAATACAATACATAGTACCATAGGTTTGGTTAGTTTTGTGGATAAAAATCAATTATTGAATACACAACGGATTGTTTTAAATTGACAGAGCACTTTTTTTTTTTGATTGAAGTGCATTAATTTTGCTCTTTAAAATAATTATTACTCGAAGGATCACAAGATACAAATATTTGTGGTGTGGTCAACAAAGTCACACACACACATGAGGATAATAATAAAGGTTTTTGAAACAGGGGCGGTTTTTTTATGTAGGGCTGATTTAAGCTTTGCCCTCGTCCTCTTTACGATTCATATGGCCCCGGAACGAGGCCTGGATTTTGGCAGCGGCTTTGTTCAGATCGGGATCTGTGAGATCTATGTCCAACTCCTATATAAGAAAAAATTCGATTATTGGTTTAGTTTGGATAAGGTACAGGTAAATTTATCACCTTTCCCTATCAAACAGCATTGAAAGGTGATAAATTTTACCTGTACCTTTGGACTACAGATTGTTGAATAGACAATACCTCTTCTTTGTTTTCTTCCTTGGAACTGCTCTCCGGTCCTTTTTTGTCGCTCTCAGTTTTCCTGGACATGTGACCTCTGAATGAGGCCTGGATCTTTGTAGCGGCATGGCACAATTCTGGAAAATAAATACACATATTTGTTTGTAGACAAAAGTTGTGCACTTTCCAGTTTTGATCATTCGACATTGTCTTACAAAATAGCCAATAACTATTGCAATTATTTTTTCACTAATTCTAATGTATATTTACATATTCTTTATCAGAAATAAACGCTCTTTGAGATGAAACAAAATTGAATCATTTATCTCAAATAGTTTTCGAGATATTGAGCTTCAAAGTCGAAACTTCGTCTCAAATTTTGGAAATCCTTTAAAGCTGATTATCTCAAAAACGAAGCCCTAGGGCTCAGTGGAGATCTACAGTTGGACAAAATGTACGAGGCCTTTACTTTAACATCCAGTTAATCCCTAAGCTAAATTTAATCCAAGAAACTAATATACATCTCTGTCATAACTGGAAGGTTAAAATTAGGTAAGTTTAACTGAAGCATTTTTAGCAAACTGCATCAGAAGTCTTCTAAATGGTGTCAGAACTATTCCAGATTTCTTGAAAGTTTTCTGAAATGTGTATCAGATGAATCTCCAATTGTTATTCATAATTAACTTTTACCAGAATGTTTATCCCCCAGTTAAATAATAGTAGATGAATCTGGCTTTAAAGAGTGAGACTTCCTATTTACCAGCCAGTTTATATCCTTTAGGACCAAATTATGGACCAACTGGTAAGTGTTTGGTTGTTAGCAGGTACTTTCTATTCTCTAGTGCATAGAAAGTACCTGCTAGGTAACAACCAGACGTTTACCAGACAGTCCATAATTTGGACCTTAGGTAAATTTTATCCAAGAAACTAATTATTTATATCTGTCTTAACTGAAGGTTAAAGTCAATATTGCATAATGCATTCCCTATTATTCAAAATTAACTTTTATAGAGTCTTACTTTACAAAAAATCATTATGTTAAAAAAATCATAACTCCATCAACAACAACTCAATCGCTTTGAGTTTTTAGTATTTTTTACATTGATTCTTTAGGAAAACATCCTCAAAATTTCAACTTTCCACTCCCTTTAGTTTTTGAGTGAAAAATTGTTTGTAAAGTCTTACTTTACGAAACATCATTATTTTTAAAAAAATCATAACTCCATTAATAATAACTCAATCGCTTTGAGTTTTTAGTATTTTTTACATTGATTCTTTAGGAAAACATCCTCAAAATTTCAATATTCCACTCACTTTAGTTTTTGAGTGAAACATTTTTTTGTAAAGTCTTACTTTACGAAACATCATTATTTAAAAAAAATCATAACTCCATTAATAATAACTCAATCGCTTTGAGTTTTTAGTATTTTTTACATGGAATCTTTAGGAAAAAGTCCTCAAAATTTCAATATTCCACTCACTTTAGTTTTTGAGTGAAAAAATTGTTTATAAAGTCTTACTTTACGAAACATCATTATTTTAAAAAAATCATAACTCCATTAATAATAACTCAATCGCTTCGAGTTTTTAGTATTTTTTGCATTGAATCTTTAGGAAAAAGTCCTCAAAATTTAAATATTCCACTCACTTTAGTTTTTGAGTGAAATTTTTTTTTGTAAAGTCTTACTTTAGGAAACATCATTATTTAAAAAAAATCATAACTCCATTAATAATAACTCAATCGCTTTGAGTTTTTAGTATTTTTTACATGGAATCTTTAAGAAAAAGTCCTCAAAATTTCAATATTCCACTCACTTTAGTTTTTGAGTGAAAAAATTGTTTATAAAGTCTTACTTTACGAAACATCATTATTTTAAAAAAATCATAACTCCATTAATAATAACTCAATCGCTTTGAGTTTTTAGTATTTTTTACATTGAATCTTTAGGAAAAAGTCCTCAAAATTTCAACTCTCCACTCACTTTAGTTTTTGAGTGAAAAAATTGTTTGTAAAGTCTTACTTTACGAAACATCATTATTCAAAAAAAATCATAACTCCATTAATAATAACTCAATCGCTTTGAGTTTTTAGTATTTTTTACATTGAACCTTTAGGAAAAAGTCCTCAAAATTTCAACTTTCCACTCACTTTAGTTTTTGAGTGAAAAAATTCTTTGTAAAGTCTTACTTTACGAAACATCATTATTTAAAAAAAATCATAACTCCATCAATAATAACTCAATCGTTTTGAGTTTTTAGTATTTTTTATATTGAACCTTTAGGAAAAAGTCCACTAAATTTCAACTCTCCACTCACTTTAGTTTTTGAGTGAAAAACTTGTTTATAAAGTCTTACTTTACGAAACATCATTATTTTAAAAAAATCATAACTCCATTAATAATAACTCAATCGCTTTAAGTTTTTAGTATTTTTTGCATTGAATCTTTAGGAAAAAGTCCTCAAAATTTAAATATTCCACTCACTTTAGTTTTTGAGTGAAAAAATTGTTTGTAAAGTCTTACTTTACGAAACATCATTATTTTAAAAAAATCATAACTCCATTAATAATAACTCAATCGCTTTGAGTTTTTAGTATTTTTTACATTGAACCTTTAGGAAAAAGTCCACCAAATTTCAACTCTCCACTCACTTTAGTTTTTGAGTGAAAAAATTGTTTGTAAAGTCTTACTGTACGAAACATCATTATTTTAAAAAAATCGTAACTCCATCAATAATAACTCAATCGTTTTGAGTTTTTAGTATTTTTTATATTGAACCTTTAGGAAAAAGTCCACTAAATTTCAACTCTCCACTCACTTTAGTTTTTGAGTGAAAAACTTGTTTATAAAGTCTTACTTTACGAAACATCATTATTTTAAAAAAATCATAACTCCATTAATAATAACTCAATCGCTTTAAGTTTTTAGTATTATTTACATCGAACCTTTAGGAAAAAGTCCTCAAAATTTCAACTCTCCACTCACTTTAGTTTTTGAGTGAAAAAATTGTTTGTAAAGTCTTACTTTACAAAACATCATTATTTTAAAAAAATTATAACTCCATTAATAATAACTCAATCGCTTTGATTTTTTACTATTATTTATATCGAACCTTCAGGAAAAACTACTCAAAATTCCAACTTTCCACTTACTTTAGTTTTTGAGTGGAAAGATTCTTTGTAAAGTCTCACTTTACGACACATCATTATTTAAAAAAAATCATAACTCCATTAATAAAAACTCAATCGCTCTGAGTTTTTAATATTTTTTACATTGAATCTTTAGGAAAAAATCCTCAAAATTTCAACTTTCCACTCATTTCAGTTTTTGAGAGAAAAAATTCTTTGTAAAGTCTTACTTTACGAAACATCATTATTTAAAAAAAATCATAACTCCATCAATAATAACTCAATCGTTTTGAGTTTTTAGTATTTTTTATATTGAACCTTTAGGAAAAAGTCCACTAAATTTCAACTCTCCACTCACTTTAGTTTTTGAGTGAAAAACTTGTTTATAAAGTCTTACTTTACGAAACATCATTATTTTAAAAAAATCATAACTCCATTAATAATAACTCAATCGCTTTGAGTTTTTAGTATTTTTTACATTGAATCTTTAGGAAAAAGTCCTCAAAATTTCAATATTCCACTCACTTTAGTTTTTGAGTGAAATTTTTTTTTGTAAAGTCTTACTTTACGAAACATCATTATTTAAAAAAAGTCATAACTCCATTAATAATAACTCAATCGCTTTGAGTTTTTAGTATTTTTTACATTGAACCTTTAGGAAAAAGTCCTCAAAATTTCAACTCTCCACTCACTTCAGTTTTTGAGTGAAAAACTTGTTTATAAAGTCTTACTTTACAAAACATCATTATTTTTAAAAAAATCATAACTCCATTAATAATAACTCAATCGCTTTGAGTTTTTAGTATTTTTTACATTGAATCTTTAGGAAAAAGTCCTCAAAGTTTCAATATTCCACTCACTTTAGTTTTTGAGTGAAAAAATTGTTTGTAATAGCATATGTTTATCCTCCAGTTAAGTACCTAATAATTGATGAATCTGGCTCTAAAAAGTAAGACTTGCTATTTACCAGCCAGTTTATCCTTTAGTTAAATTTAATCCAAGAAACTAGTTATTTACATCTGTCTTTAACTGAAGATTAAAGTTAATAATATTGCATACCTACCAACTTTCAATAGAATGTTTATCCCCTAGTTACATAATAGCGTATTTGGCCTTAAAAGTGACACTTGCTATTTAACAGCCAGTTTATGTTTTAGGTGAATTTCATTCAAGTAACTGATTATTTACACCTAACTGAAGGTTAATATATTAATATTGCATATTATCCAGATTAACTTGTACAGAATTTTTATCCCCCAGTTAAATAATACCTAGTAAATGAATCTGGCTTGAATTATTCAACTCAAATAATAGTGAGCCTCAAACTTGAAACTGTGTCTCAAATTTAGGAAAACCCTTAAAATATTGACACTGAACAGTGAAATTTGGAAGTCAATTTTATACAATTTTCAATTAATTGCTGATTATTTGTGGCTAACTAGCTGGAAACTCAATTAGGAAAATTCAATTAAACAGAAACCGCCTAATTGAAAATAGTTTTGTGGACAAACAAATTCAATCAATAGAGGTGTGTATCCTACTGACTACTCCAACATAATAATAAATTATTTACAAGTTCCAAAGTCCAGGAGATTATATCGTGCATATTTAGAAGCTAAAATTACTTCAAAGCAATCCTCGTTCTCGTGTCAATCAGCTTATACAAAATCTATAAAAAGGTTTTATGCTGAAAAGCGACCTTATCTGACCTGTTCGCAAGTTATTCAATCAGTCAAAGGGTTGAAAGTGTTGAATTTTTTATTGGGATAACAGTTTTTTTGGGTAGTTTTTGGCTTATTAATCTAGAAGACATTAATTTTTTTTTCAATATTGAAGCAGATTTAGGTTGAGTGAAAATTTGGGACCTCAAAAAATATGTAGCTTTTCATACTTTTTTTTTAAATTCCAGGCTCTTGATTTTGCATTACAAATTATTACCTGCATCGTCCAGCCTGAACTCGTTCTCCAGTTCTTCTCTGGTCGGTTCCCTTTCAGCTTCTTGTCCTTGAGGTTGTTTCATGCTTTTTCTTGTTTGGTGACCCCTACGAAAGCCATATTGTGAATATATTTTTTGAATTTTGTTGTTTCTTTACCTAAAAACTGCTTGTATTTTTGTAGCGGCCTCTTCTTCTTCTCCACCTAGATTTGCTGTGCCGTTCGACTGGATTGTTATCGTCTTTGCCGAGCTGGTTTTTGTATCTTTGGCTAATAAATCTGAAACAAATAAATTTAGTTCTTAGTTTAGTTTAAAGTAAACATGAAAGGGCTTAAGACTAAGGCTCACTTTACAGACAAAGTTAAAGCAAATTTGATAAATGGCTTTTGTATGTCTCTAAAGGTTAAGGAAATTGCTATTCAAGTTTCCAAGTAATTATTCAATATAGCAGGAATTGAGGGAAAGATTACCCAAAATTGAAATTTTCTGCCTTTGCCTTGAGTTTTCGCCTTTGAAACTGTGCAGCTGCGAAACTATTACGCAGAGGTTTTTAGAGGATTCAATTTGAGTATAATTAAATCGAGATTGGATTGAAATTAACAAAGTTGTGGGGCTAAATGTCTAAACTAAATTATGGGTTTTAATCTGATGATTTGAGAGTTTCTTATGTAAGATTCAACTAATTTAAAACCATTATAGTTTACAGAAAAACCATTAATGAAGATTCAAAAAGTCTAAAATGTCATTCCTCAAGGATTATATTCTCTAAGTAATGAGCAATAATTCAATCCTGGGTTTAATATTTAATTAATTAATGTTGAATCAAGAATATTTTCCCAGATTTGTTAACTTCCCTTTCATAATCATTATTAATCGCTTTCAACTTTGACACGCCACTTATTTCAAACGATAATTTCTTTTAGCATGCAACAACTAGCTTAGAGCTATTTTTATATATAAGGAAGCAAAATGAAGTTTCATTAGAATGAAAAAAGTTTTGTAATTTAATCTATAAATAAAGTTGCACGAGTTGAAAGTTAACTGACAAGAAACTTAGGCCCAGTTTCACCAGTGGTTATCAAACTCATAGTTGCAACTTGACTACATTGAATTTTTTGAAGCTTAACCAATGGTTTTGGGTAAACCACTCATTATGAAAACGATGGTTACCACTATTTGTGAAACCTGGCCCTTAATGAGTTAATTTACATAACTAGTAATTATTTGTCAATAAAATTTACATGCAAACGTAAGCTGGAAAAAATTTATTCGACATATTAAATCCACTCACTACAGGAGCCCTTTATGTACCTATATTCGAAATTTAACATTTCCCATATTCATGAAGGTCGGCACAAAACGTGTCTGATTTGCATACGTAGCAAAAGTTAGAAATGAATTTTAAACAGTTTCGTTTTAGAAGGCCAATGTTTGACTTGCATTTTACCAGGAGGCGAATTATTTGGATAATTTCCAATAGCCATTATTTCTCTAGGTCAATAATTCTGGATGCCACAAAGCCTGCACATAGTGTTCCAGAAATTTCTTGTTGTTTTATTAATGAAATTCTCTCAGCAGAAGCTGGCAAACTATTTATTTATTGATTTATGTATGTAGGTATAGTCTCTTGACTTAGAATGGATTTACTGAACATTATGCAACATTCCTAAGAGAATTATTAGCTAGATTTAGCTCATTATTTTTATCTATCTCAACTATCCCTAATAACACACATAAAACTCCAGGAATATTCAGTTCTATTAAGTCATTCCTGGAATATCTTCAATCATCCCACATTGTTTATTCAGGATTTTTGTGAGATAGAGAAGGATGCACATGCACAAAACATTCCACAAATAAACTATTGGGAAATATCTGTCTTTTGTTTTATTAATTAAATTATTACTCGAATTATAAATTCTAAATTGACATCCAACACTTGCATCAATAGTTTCCTCAAAAGTTCCATTTTCTGAGGAGTCTAAGGTTCAAAATAATTTAGAAACTTCATAACCATTTAAGAACGCCTCAGAATACGTATAGCATTTAATTTAGAAGTTACTAGAAACCATTTAGAATACTTCAAATTAAAACTTTGATAAGTATTTTGGAAAGTTTAAAGCACTTAAAATTATTCAATTCAGAATTTTCGCAAGCATACTGTGACGTTTTAGAAAATTTTTGAAAAATCCTGAAAAAATACTTCGGAGTTTCAGATCGATTTCAAACTTTCAGGATTCATTAACCAGGATGCTTCCATCAAACCAGGCAAATTTGAAGTTAATCTGAAGCTCAGAAATAAAATTAGGAGTTTTTTCTACTTAATACCAGAAAAAGTTGGAAAATTCACATTAAATCACTTTTGAAAAATCCTGAAAAATACTCCGGAGTATCAGATCGATTTCAAACTTTCAGGATTTATTAACCAGTATGTTTTCATCAAACAAGGCAAATTTGAAGTCAATCTGAAGCTTAGAAATAAAATTATGAGATGTTTTCAACTTAATACCAGAAAAAGTTGGAAAATTTACATTAAATCACTTTTGAAAAATCCTAAAAAATACTTCGGAGTATCAGATCAATTTCAAACTTGCAGGATTTACTAACTAGGATGTTTTCATCAAATAAGGCAAATTTGAAGTCAATCTGAAGCTCAGAAATAAAATGATGAGGTTTTTTTTCAACTTAATACCAGAAAAAGTTGGAAAATTCACATTAAATCACTTTTGAAAAATCCTGAAAAATACTTCGGAGTATCAGATCGATTTCAAACTTTCAGGATTTATTAACCAATATGTTTTCATTAAACAAGGCAAATTTGAAGTCAATGTGAAGCTCAGAAATAAAATTATGAGGTTTTTTTCCACCTAATACCAGAAAAAGTTGGAAAATTCACATCAAATCACTTTTGAAAAATCCTTAAAAATACTCCGGAGTATCAGATCGATTTCAAACTTTCAGGATTTATTAACCAATATGTTTTCATCAAACAAGGCAAATTTGAAGTCAATCTGAAGCTCAAAAATAAAATTATGAGGTTTTTTTCCACCTAATACCAAAAAAAGTAGGAAAATTCACATTAAATCACTTTTGAAAAATCCTGAAAAATACTTCGGAGTAGCAGATGGATTTCAAACTTTCAGGATTTATTAATCAGTATGTTTTCATTAAATAAGGCAAATTTGAAGTCAATCTGAAGCTCGGAAATAAAATTATGAGGTTTTTTTTCAACTTAATACCAGAAAAAGTTGGAAAATTCACATTAAATCACTTTTGAAAAATCCTAAAAAATACTTCGGAGTATCAGATCAATTTAAAACTTCCAGGATTTACTAACTAGGATGTTTTCATCAAATAAGGCAAATTTGAAGTCAATCTGAAGCTCAGAAATAAAATTATGAGGCTTTTTTCCAACTAATTCCAAAAAAAGTTGAAAAATTCACATTAAATCACATTTGAAAAATCCTGAAAAATACTTCAGAGTATCAGATCGATTTCAAACTTTTAGGATTTATTAACCAATATGTTTTCATCAAACAAGGCAAATTTGAAGTCAATCTGAAGCTCAGAAATAAAATTATGAGGTTTTTTTCAACTTAATACTAGAAAAAGTTGGAAAATTCACATTAAATCACTTTTGAAAAATCCTGAAAAATACTTCAGAGTATCAGATCGATTTCAAACTTTCAGAATTTATTAACCAGGATGTTTTCATTAAACAGGGCAAATTTGAAGTCAATCTGATGCTCAGAAATAAAATTATGAGGCTTTTTTACACCTAATACCAAAAAAAGTATGAAAATTCACATTAAATCACTTTTGAAAAATACTTCGGAGTATCAGATCGATTTCAAACTTTCAGGATCCATTAACCAGGGTGTTTTCATCAAACAAGACAAATTTTAAGTCAATCTGAAGCTCAGAAATAAAATTATGAGGTTTTTTTTCAACTTAATACCAGAAAAAGTTGGAAAATTTACATTAAATCACTTTTGAAAAATCCTGAAAAATACTTCGGAGTATCAGATCGATTTCAAACTTTCAGGATTTATTAACCAATATGTTTTCATCAAACAAGACAAATTTGAAGTCAATCTGAAGCTCAGAAATAAAATTATGAGGCTTTTTTCCACCTAATACCAAAAAAAGTAGGAAAATTCACATTAAATCACTTTTGAAAAATCCTGAAAAATACTTCGGAGTATCAGATCGATTTCAAACTTTCAGGATTTATTAACCAGTATGTTTTCATCAAACAAGATAAATTTGAAGTCAAATCTGAAGCTCAGAAATAAAATTATGAGGTTTTTTTCCACCTAATACCAAAAAAAGTTGAAAAATTCACATTAAATCACTTTTGAAAAATCCTGAAAAATACTTCGGAGTATCAGATCGATTTCAAACTTTTAGGATTTATTAACCAATATGCTTTCATCAAACAAGGCAAATTTGAAGTCAATCTGAAGCTCAGAAATAAAATTATGAGGTTTTTTTCCACCTAATACCAAAAAAAGTAGGAAAATTCACATTAAATCACTTTTGAAAAATCCTGAAAAATACTTCGGAGTATCAGATCGATTTCAAACTTTCAGGATTTATTAACCAATATGTTTTCATCAAACAAGACAAATTTGAAGTCAATCTGAAGCTCAGAAATAAAATTATGAGGCTTTTTTCCACCTAATACCAAAAAAAGTAGGAAAATTCACATTAAATCACTTTTGAAAAATCCTGAAAAATACTTCGGAGTATCAGATCGATTTCAAACTTTCAGGATTTATTAACCAGTATGTTTTCATCAAACAAGATAAATTTGAAGTCAAATCTGAAGCTCAGAAATAAAATTATGAGGTTTTTTTCCACCTAATACCAAAAAAAGTTGAAAAATTCACATTAAATCACTTTTGAAAAATCCTGAAAAATACTTCGGAGTATCAGATCGATTTCAAACTTTCAGGATTTATGAACCAATATGTTTTCATCAAACAAGGCAAATTTGAAGTCAATCTGAAGTTCAGAAATAAAATTATGAGGTTTTTTTTCAACTTAATACCAGAAAAAGTTGGAAAATTCACATTAAATCACATTTGAAAAATCCTGAAAAATACTTCGGAGTATCAGATCGATTTCAAACTTTCAGAATTTATTAACCAATATGTTTTCATCAAACAAGACAAATTTGAAGTCAATCTGAAGCTCAGAAATAAAATTATGAGGCTTTTTTCCACCTAATACCAAAAAAAGTAGGAAAATTCACATTAAATCACTTTTGAAAAATCCTGAAAAATACTTCGGAGTATCAGATCGATTTCAAACTTTCAGGATTTATTAACCAGTATGTTTTCATCAAACAAGATAAATTTGAAGTCAAATCTGAAGCTCAGAAATAAAATTATGAGGTTTTTTTCCACCTAATACCAAAAAAAGTTGAAAAATTCACATTAAATCACTTTTGAAAAATCCTGAAAAATACTTCGGAGTATCAGATCGATTTCAAACTTTCAGGATTTATGAACCAATATGTTTTCATCAAACAAGGCAAATTTGAAGTCAATCTGAAGTTCAGAAATAAAATTATGAGGTTTTTTTTCAACTTAATACCAGAAAAAGTTGGAAAATTCACATTAAATCACATTTGAAAAATCCTGAAAAATACTTCGGAGTATCAGATCGATTTCAAACTTTCAGAATTTATTAACCAATATGTTTTCATCAAACAAGACAAATTTGAAGTCAATCTGAAGCTCAGAAATAAAATTATGAGGCTTTTTTCCACCTAATACCAAAAAAAGTAGGAAAATTCACATTAAATCACTTTTGAAAAATCCTGAAAAATACTTCGGAGTATCAGATCGATTTCAAACTTTCAGGATTTATTAACCAGTATGTTTTCATCAAACAAGATAAATTTGAAGTCAAATCTGAAGCTCAGAAATAAAATTATGAGGTTTTTTTCCACCTAATACCAAAAAAAGTTGAAAAATTCACATTAAATCACTTTTGAAAAATCCTGAAAAATACTTCGGAGTATCAGATCGATTTCAAACTTTTAGGATTTATTAACCAATATGCTTTCATCAAACAAGGCAAATTTGAAGTCAATCTGAAGCTCAGAAATAAAATTATGAGGTTTTTTTCCACCTAATACCAAAAAAAGTAGGAAAATTCACATTAAATCACTTTTGAAAAATCCTGAAAAATACTTCGGAGTATCAGATCGATTTCAAACTTTTAGGACTTATTAACCAATATGTTTTCATCAAACAAGGCAAATTTGAAGTCAATCTGAAGCTCAGAAATAAAATTATGAGGTTTTTTTTCAACTTAATACCAGAAAAAGTTGGAAAATTTACATTAAATCACTTTTGAAAAATCCAGAAAAATACTTCGGAGTATCAGATCGATTTCAAACTTTCAGGATTTATTAACCAGTATGTTTTCATCAAACAAGGCAAATTTGAAGTCAATCTGAAGCTCAGAAATA